GATCCGTAGTATTCATTGATAATAAAAATTTAAAGTCGTCGTCTCCAAAGACCCGCCGTTGGTCCTACCGCCGGACCCAGGTGGCTCATGAGATTGAAGTGGATCCGGGAACCAAATACTGCGAAACATGTAATGATCCCTGCCCAAGGAGCAGTGTGATGTCATTGGCGCCTTTTCCGTGCGAAGCACGACGCAGTAATGATTCGTGAGAGCAAGATTCACCATTCGACGCCCAAGTTTTGTGTCCGATAGCAGAATGACAAGTGGCGTTTTTGTTTACGCTTACTGTAAGCTAAACGATACCACAATTCCGGCACAGACGCTGATTCTTAGGAAGGATGCTTTCCAGAACAATATAATTGGCTATACAAAGTACAGTGCATGGTTATTCCCAATTGCATGAGTGTGAGTGCTTTTTCCGCTGACAGCGGTGAGTACTCCGAGCGGCATGCTCTGAGGGTGGCTGTTGATGCCCCAAGAGCTGTCAAATACACCAGCAACATTTAATTGTCTTGTGACGTAGTTGTTCAGGCTCAACCAGGCGTATGCACAGACATACTTCGGCGACATCTTCGTCCACAGTCGTGCAGGAAGCGGGAGGACGGATGAGAAACCCACACCGTCCATTTGAATGCGGTGCTTGAGTGCATGCGCACGAAAAAACTGTATGTTAATGCAGAAAAGTGCATCTTCGGCGCTGAAGAAATTCTCTTTGTCAGGGTGCTTCATTGGGAAGCGAGGCTCTCGGGAGGATCCGCTAAAAGTCAATGCCATCCGGTTCCAAAAAAAAAACAGAAGGCTTGGCCTCGCCAACTACTTGCACAAGTATAGCGCGAATTATACGGAAACGGCACGGCTATTGTCTAGTCTCCTTTAAGAATGGTGTTGAGACACCGAGCATCGGTACGCTTTTGACGGGGTCAACGACAGCCTCCTAATGCACCAATAATGGCGTTGCCAGACCCCGATCGTTCTTTTAGTGTCGTCTGTGACGCTTCCGACTTTGCTGTCGCTATGCAGTGCTGCAAGCAGCCGAGGGGTAAGATCTAGTGATTGCATTCGAGTCTTGCAGCTTAAGGCCGCGGAGAGGAACCACTCAATCCACAACAAGGAATTACTTGCGATGAAGTATGCACTTCTAAAGTTCAGGGAGCGCCTGCTTGGCTCAAAGCCGTTTGAGATATACACAGATCATGCATCCTTACGCCGTGCGACTCAGTCGCCTCACTTCTCGCAGAGGATAATCAGGTGGCTCTAATTCTTTGCTGTATATGACTTCGAGGTGGAGTATAAGCCAGGAAAGCAGAATGCTTCGGCTAATGCGTTGTCACGCAGACCAAATTATGAGCTTGCTCATGTCACGACGGTGACGTCATCACTCACGGATTTGATCCGTGCCGCATATGCGGGTGATGATATGTGCGTTGCGCTGCTACAAGCTCTCGGGGACAAGAAGTTTGGGATCACAGCACCGACTCAACGGATACGCTAGCAATCGTGGTTTTTCATGATGGAAATTTAACAACCGTATTTTCTATGAGGCCCACGATACCCCACTTAGTGATCATCTCGGTCGTGAGAAGACGTAGAGCTCTGTCAGTCGCCACCACTGGTGGTTTAAGCTGTACAAATGGAGAAGAACATATGTGCACACGTGTGAGACGTGTTAAAGTGTCAAAGGGTGAAACCTTCTCCGAATGCGGCGGCGGCGCTGGTCAGATTTCCGGTACCCTCCGAGTGTTAGCAGTCCGTGAGTATGGACTTCGTGTTTGGACTATCAAAGACTCGGCGGGCAACACGGGTGTGGTGGTCTTTGCCGACCGTTTGTGCAAGATGGCTCATCTTGCGGCTGTGCCGGACACCATCGTCGGTGTCGGTACAGCGACGCCGTTTGAGGATCGTGTCTTTCGACAGCATGGACTCCCGGAGTCAATTAGAAATGTATGCCAATGTTAGGCCCTCGATTGCATTAAATTTACCACGTCTTTGTCGATTGGTTAAACTTCATGTAGTTTTGCCATGCTTAAGGCAGCTTCAACTTCGTAAATGCGTTTAACTTTATGGTGTGAATTCATACAATCAGCTTATATGATAAGAGGTTAGATTTAAAAAAATAATATGTGTTAAACTCAAGGTCGAGTATTTTTTTGTAATATGAATTTATGTGAATTTGGTCGCAAAGTAGAAATGTTTTCATATGAATGGCCCAGCTCGAGAGAAGATAACCTTATAGTATGTTTGCCTTAAAATGAGACTATCGTTAGGCTAAATAAAGCTAATGTTGTTAAAAGCAGCTATAGCAGTAACGGGGTTACACGTTTCTTTATATGGATGGGCGGGTCGTATAACGTCGTGCGACTGGGCATAGGTGTGTATGACACAAGTTAGTGTAACCACACAGTGGTGTAGCTACACCGTAACAAGATTCCACCACATGGCAGGATTGCCAGTAGTAATGCATATTACTAATTTAACTCGGAAGACCTAGGTTTTAGATATTGGCGGTCATTCTGCAATTAAAACAATTAAAAACAGTTTCGATTATAAAAAGAATATTCGTTTACTTTGATTAAGCATTTTAGTACTTTGAAGTAGCAGATTGCGATTCGCTACACGATTACTGGTTCTTGGAAAGAATGTAAGGTGCGTGACCTTAGCTTAGCTTCCTCTAAGCAAAGAGCTGTGGCAGCCCCGCTGCAATAGCATAACACTTACTGTCATGAATTACGCTTATGGAAGCAGTAATCGGATTATATATATTAGATTTGCACTTGATATTTCGAATATAAGTTTGGTACGTTTATCACAATCTCTGATGGTAGGGTAACACGCGTGGTGACCTTATCGTGTCATCATTCTACCAGAAGAATAAAGAGTTGATGACTTCTTGACGTTAATTAATCCGATCCTTGGGCTCAGTGCTTTCGGGCATTCTTATCGATGAAACCACCCCAAGTGATGGATGAGCTCTCCTTCTCCAACAGTATCGGTGATTCCACGTTCTCGGAATACCTTGCAACTCAGTGATTTCATATTTCTGCAATACCTTGCATACGTATCCTACAAATGTATTTCTCGATCTATATTAGAACATCTAGTTGGGGAGGAGACGAAAGACTGGTATGCATCTCCTTTAACGTTTTCTCGAAATGTCATAGCCACTTCAGTTATAGATAAACGACTGGATTGGAATTAACCTCGAACCTTGGTTACTCTGCACAATGAGTACGTCACCCAGCTATCGGAGTAAAGTTTTAATTTTTTAGAGCAAAAGGGAACTTCTAATTTTAATGAGCGTCTCCCGCGTGCGCCGCAAAGATAAGATATCCACATTTGGCATCTACAAACTTTTCGCATGATCCGTACTCTTTTTAACAGTAGTGCGTCTAAGCCCGTGAACCTTTTCATGGACTTCACAAGTTAGGTTGCTGATGTTACCGACTAACAAACCTAGACTGTATGCCGCATCACTTATAAAGCTGACCCCGACAAATTCGATCTCCACGAGCTAAACAGAAGTTCAATTATATCAGTACGCCGCTTTGTGCCTACTGAAGGCTTTGCCGTGTATAGAAGCTCAATTCTCCAAACTGATAAAGTCGGACACACAAGGCGTTATGGTTTGGCACTGCCACGAATGTGACATCCAGTGCCATAGTGATGATTGGCAGACCATTTTACCATTCAGCTACACTAATGTCCTTTGCCTCTGATATGCTCACATAGAACCAGTCCTTGCGTCTCGATGGTGACCTGAAGTTATATTCTGCATTCAATGCGACGATCATCGCATTTATAAAAATAGCGTTGTTATTCTTGAACATGTCGAAAATTATTCTGAGAATCTACATTAAGGTGGAAAGTGTCGGCTGACATCCTGGCCACAAGCTCTTAGATTTTGAGTTGGGCATCATTCATCCATTATTTCTCATCCCTTGACAATTAAATAAAGATCTGATTAACAAAACCGAAATAGTCATTGGGAAGACCCGCGGCAACTGCTGCCTCATGATGAGCTTGTTCCGATGGCTGGCGTTGGCTTTTTTTCGTAAACGACCTTCTGTTCGAGATTCGCGTACCCTGTTGCTCGATTTGAAGCTAGACAAATACATGGCTGTCTGAACCTTTCTCATCCAAAGGAGATGATTCTTTTCGATTACTCGGTCAAAAAGGTCTGACTTTTGAAAATGATCTCTGCTCTATAGAGCCTAGTGTGAGCCTACTCTACCCCCGACGTCTGGTTGGGACTTGACTGTTATTCAACGTGGCTGTCATGCCCCTTGCACACATGGTGCTTTGACCGTCATCAGGCCACGATTTTAAAGTATTAGCTTCCTCTACGCAGGAGCGGATTCGATAGCTTATCAATTAACCACGAACTTTCTCTGTTGTTCTATGTTGCAAAAGATACATTTTTTAGAAATCAAGTTTTACTATAAATGGCACGAATATATTTAATTTACTATGTACAATACTATGCTGTGCGCTGCATGACGTCAGCATGCCCCACGGGCCTATTCGGTAAATATACCCATCGTTCTCATCAGTACCATCCTTTGGTACGTTGCACATTAGTGAAAAGCCATTCTTCACCATAGTACGATACGTTTTCTGTTTCGGAGTCTATCAGCGTATTTTTGTAGCTCCCGGCAAGTAATTACCGCTTCTGAGCTTTGAAATGTCGAAGAAATTATAGGCAGAAACAATAAAAGAATGCCGTGTTGATTCACGTATCCATGCCGATAGACAGTCTTGTCCAAAATTGGTCTGTGAATTGACGATTAGCAACTAAAAGCAAATCTCCCTGCACCTGAGAGCATATAACGCTCCTGCATCGAGTATGTATGTAGAATCGAGGCTTGCCTTAATCAAAGTCTATATGCTTTATATTGCATTGCGCGAGGCTAGCAGCTCATGTGTCCCATGGACCTAAATTTTTGAACAGCCATCGCTTCCATCCGTACCGCACTAGACATCATACATAACTCTAGTACTTTGCCATGGTGCTTGTGAGCTGTGCTAGAAGTCCGGAAACTATTTTATTATGTACTTACAGTATAACTGGAGGTGTAATGGGTGACGTTCCCTATTTTGTTATACGTACGCACTATAGCGTATTAGACTTTAGCGAAGCTCGGTACCAGGAGAAGTATCTGATGAAAAATCATCATCAGCACTGCGTTATGGACTTTCATAAGCAAAACATCCGAGGGGATGAATTACTAGCTTTACGAGATGCATTTATGGAGTTTACTCTAGCTGAGCAGTTATATCTCAAGTTGTAAAAGCTAAACTTGGCTTAACAAAAATCATTAGGGATTAAAAAAATAAAAGCAGTACTTATGATTTGACAAACTCACGATCCCGCGCGTGGGTGGATCATAATGAACCCATCCTATGGTGGTTAATCAATGTGAGAACAATTGTCGCAAGCTTCTCTGCATCATTCACGAATCCACGAAATTAAATATGACTTGTCGTCATCTCGACAGACAAACCTGAATACGACTGTATCACCCGTGAGGGTGGGAAATGATATGTTTGCTTGTCAGTCCTTGAGACTACCAGACACTCTTAACAATATTTTATGTTCTATTGGTGTCAAAACGATGACACAATTATCGGTTTGTAGGCCGAAAGAATACTCGATCGCCTGGATGCGCTCACCAGCTATGAAAATTCGCTGGTAAGATACTTCTTATGATACCTTAGTTCGGGATCTACGGGTACACATACACCATTCCAAGTAAGACCGCTTTTGTGAGAAGTTCAACTTTTGAGTACAGAGCAAGCCATGAATTGATTTCTGAGCAAGCGAGGTTAAATGTCCATATACTTGACAGCAACAGCTCGCTGCGCTAGTAATCTTCAAGCCAGGAGGTGATAGGAGAATGAATACTTACGCGCGGTACTTTTCTGTAGTAAAGGCGTTCAAGATGTAGAAAGTGCTGAAGCAGCAGATGCCGCTGGTATCTGCATCGCCTAACTATGCACGCCGTTAAAGGTCTAAATTTCTATCCACCCGCTGTGGAGGCAAAATGTAGCGAACTTTGTCTAGAGGCCTAGTAATTTTTTAAATGGCGGCAAACGCTTTCCAAAATACCACTGTTATGGAGAATCTCCGTATAGATTCGGTTTGCACCAATTTCCGTCTTTTTTTAACCGCCACAATGGAAACGTGCGTCCGACATTGAGTGTAAAGCTCAACGACAGTAAAAAACATAGGCCAGGTGGAGGGTCGAAGGTAGAAACATATCAATAAATCCAAGCCAAGCTGAGGATAGAATGGGTGCTTTCTCAGCGGTTAATTAGCACTATCAGATTAGCAAATTAAAATTGTAGAGGATACAAACTCTTACGTCCTAAAGTTTCTCTTTGTTTTTGGTTGAAATGTGAAGAGGGTCAAGCTCTCGCGCTGTCTCGCTTGATATAATTCTTGCTGATAAAACGTCGAGCACCGGTCAGGCGCGCACATCCACTGAATCCTACTGTCTCACATAGAGAATAAGCTTAACATGATCCAGCTCTTGAGGCAGTAACTATCTCTAAAGTGTTGGCACTCACGATTGTGGATTTTCAGCTGCAACATTTTGGTCTTTGATAGGCCGTTAAAAGCCTCATTGAATTAAGAGCGTTGTACAGTATCGTAAGATGCGCGGCAATAAAAATCAGTAGTCATTTTAGGGGGCAATAAAGATGTCGAATCTGAAAAGGATAACATTTGTATTGCATCAAAAACAATAGTTGACGCATTCAAACTACTATGTAATGTCCGAGGTCCTTCGCAGCGCGACTCGCAGCATTGATCTTATCTCTTGATTTTAGATACGATCTCAACTAGCGCGGCCGGACTGTCATGAGCAACAAATCGACTGGAAGCTCAAAATATTAAGTGCAACGGGCTAGTATTTTTGTCGAGCCTTGGTGTGTTTTGAAATACCTGTCTTAAAAAAGCGAAGGCGCTTCTGTCACGGTGCAAGCCATGGGATCACCAGAATCAACTCTTTACGATATTTCGAAGGGCCTTGAGCTATGCTTGGTTGGCAAGGTGATCCACAGTCTCAAGAGGATAGAATTAGTAGCGATCAAAGCCACGCTTTCAGGTGCTACGGGAATTAGCAAATATAAACCGCGGTGTCTATATTGGAACTATGATAAGATGAACAAAACAGGCGGTATTCGGGATCACCGGAGATTCGGTCAGATAGTCCGGATATGAGCGAATGTGTTTCGCGGTCTTTGCAGCGGGTTGACTGAGCTCTTTGCTTAAAGGAAGCTAAGCTTAAGTTACCGACCTTACGTTCTATACAAGAACCAGTACGAGTGTAGCGGATCGCAATTCGCTACATCTTAGAACTCGGAACCTCAATCAAGTTAAAGTCGCTCTTCGTTCAAAATAGAAACATGTATTTAGTTGTTTTAGTTGCGGCAGAGCCGCCTATATCTAAAGCCTTAGCTTTTCCTGATTAAATATAAAATCCTAATATATATGCGTCACTACTGGCAGTCCTGCCACGTATTGGCTTCTTGCTACGGTGTAGTCACACAATGGTGTGACTACACCAGCTTATGTAATATACACCCTTGTACGTTTACACCAATGTGTGTAACCCGCCATTTCATTCAAGGGTACGTGTAAACCCGTCACACTCTCCCCCATCGAAGTTGTGATAACCTCAATTCAAATCTCATTGGCTCCTCACACGAGGCTTGCGTGTCTGAGACGCCGCTGCGCCGTTAAAGACATCTTTGAACATTCTCCGCTCAATAAGCCCTGTGTCTATGACACGAAAAATACACAGTCTAGCTAGTTCCGAGGTAGTCCGCGGGCAAAGCCCTTCTTCTTCCTCTGCGCGACGTGCATCTCCTGGCGGTACGTCCGCGGCTTCACGGGAAGCACATCCCAAGTCCTCTGAAGCCGAGTGTCACACACCGCACCCGCCACGAGCGACAATTTTTCTCTTCGAGGAAATCGGAGGAAGTGGACTTATGCAAGCCCAAATAAAACACCGGGTGGGTGCGCATCCTTCTCGGAAGATTCAGCGTATAAGCAAGGCCTCGCTTGGTTACGATCATAAAGGGTCCAATAAACCGTGGACGGAGTTTCGTCTTGACGACAGCAGGAACCGCATGTGTAGGAAGGTTTTTATCATTTATCAAAACCAGGTCTCTGACTTCAATGATTCCAACATCTCTTCTTCATCTTCCGTCTGCATATTCTTTCTGCATGTATTGTCTTTCAGCCATCGCATCGCGAACGTGTTGTAAGAAACTCAGTCTGGTAGACAGGAAGTCTCCGACTTCTTTACACACATTGAGGTGGCTGACTTCAGCAAGACGTTCGACAATTCCTCCCTCACCAAACCCTGAGCCATGGGATGGCGGTGCCAGCGGGACGCGAGGATTATTAAGCCCGTTCACGTAGAACGGCGTATAGCCGGTAGGTGCATGCACTGCATTGTTCAAAGCGAACTCCACAAGTGGTAGCATGGCGCTCCAGTGCTTCGGCTTCTCAGCGCATTGCTACGAAGAACATCCTTAATGACGCGATCCGCGCGCTTACTTTGACCGCCGGTATGCGGATGGTCGGCTGTTGGCATAGTCAACTTGGTGCCCAGCATTCTGAAAAGTGCAGGCCAAAACATCCAAGTAAAGTGTGGGTCTCTGTCAGAGACAATCGACTCTGAGAGTCCATGCTGTGGAAAGACACGACCGACAAACGGTGTCGCTGTACCCACACCGTCGATGGTGTCCGGCACTGCCGCACGATGAGTCATCATTCTTAAAAGGTCCACCAACGACCACCACACCCGTGTTGTCCACCGAGTCCTTCGGCAGGCCAGACACAAAGTCCATACTCATGGACTGTTAACACCTGGGGGGTACCGGTAAACTGGCCAGCGGCGCCGCCGAATTTGGAGAGGGTTTCACCCTTTGAATCGTCTCATACGTGCGCGCATATGTGGTCTTCTATTTGAACAGCTTAAGCCACCAGTAGTGACAACTCACAGAGCTGTACGTCTTCCCACGACCGAGGTGATCACTAAATGGGGGGTCGTGGTCCTCCCCCAAAATACAGTATTTTAAATTTTCATCGTGAGGAACCACAATGCGTGGCATATCCGTCGAATCGGTGTTATAATACAGCAACCTGTTATTTAAACGAATATCGGTGTAACCATGCGCGCAAACGTGCCGACAACTTCTTGTCCGAGTCTCCAAACTCCTTGTTTCCGAGAGCCTGTAGCAGCACAACACACATATCATCACCCGCGAATGGGACGCGGATCAAACCGTCAATGATGACGTCACCGTCGTGACATGAGCAAGCTCATAATTTGGTTAGCGTGACAACGCATCAGCCGAAGCATTCTGCTTTCCTGGCTAATACTTCACCCCGAAGTCACATTTTGCAAAGAATGAGAGCCACCTGGTTATCTTGTGCGAGAAGTGAGGCGACTGAGTTGCACTGCATAATGCCAAATGATATGTGAAAATCGCAAACGGTTTTGAGCCAAGCAGGTGCACCCTGACCTGAGAGCATATTTATCTAAAGTGATTTCATGACTGGGTAGTTCCTCTCCGCAGCCTTAAGCTGGCGAGACTCGGATGCGACTACCCGATCTCGCCCCTCGGCGTCTGCTAGCAGCACTGCACAGCCGACGGCAAAGTCGGAAGCGTCACAGACGACACCAAAAGGACGATCGGGGTATGGCAACACCAGTAATGGTGCATGAAGGAGGCTGTCTTTGACCCTGTCAAAACTTCTCGATGCTTGGCATCCCAACACCATTCCCTATCAATTTTTAGGAGATTCGACAATGTTCGTGCCATATCCGCAAAATTTGCGCTATACTTGAGCATGTATTTGGCGAGGCCAAACCACTTGCGCGAGTCCTTCTGGTTTTTTGAAACCGGCCAGTCCACAAAGGCCTTGATCTTAGCGGATCCGCTCGAAGGTCACGCTTCTTAATGAAGCACCCTGAAAAGGGAATTTCTTCAGCTCGGGGATGCACTTATCGGCATTAACATGCAGTTTCTTCTTGCGCATGCACCCAAGCACCGCTCTCAAATGGACGATGTGGTTTTCCTCATCTGTTCTCCCGCACGACTGTGGACGAAGATATCGTCGACGTATTTTTGTGTATACACCCGGTGGGGCCTACACGATTGCATCATAAGACGACCAAATGTTTTCGGTGCATTTGACAGCCCTTGGAACATCACCAGCCGCTCCCTAAGCATCCCGCTTGTAGAACTCACCGCTGTCAGCGGATTTTACTCGCTCCTATGAGTAATTGGTAATACTCTTCGACCAAGTCGAGTGCGCTGTACTTTGTACAGCCACCCATTTTGTCTTGAAGAATTTACTTTCTAGGAGTCGACGTCTGCGCCGGAATGGTGGCAGCGTTTAGCTTATTGTAAGCGTGAGCGATACGCCACTTACCGTTCGGCTTCCGGACACAAAACGCGGGTGTCCAATAGGAAGGCTTGCTCTCACTAACCATTTCTGCGTCGTAATTTGCTCGGAAGAAGCCCTCAATGACGGCATTCTGCTCCTTAGGCAGGAGTCAGTGGCGTGTTGCGCAGTATTTGGCTCCCGGAACCAGGTCAATCCCATGAGGCACACCTCGGTCCGGAGGTAGGGTCGACGACGGGTCTTTGGGGACGAAATCTTGCAATTCTTTTACCAAAGAATACTACGGATCCGAGGAATCCTTCAGGATCGACGATCCACTTCGTGCATTAAGCACCCTCTTAGTGTTGCTTCATCCAGAACAGACGACGAGTTAATATCCTCGTTGGTCGCATAATGACCACCTCGGCTTAATTGCCTGCCTCAAAGGCACCGCCAGACCCTTCGAGGGATCTTTCGCCCAGCCCAAGAAGAGCATGCACCGAATGAATAGTCTCGCGGGTAATGTTGCCGTCTTTCTCTGTCGTGATACCGCTGAAAAAGGTATATAGCTGTGCACTATCGTCTGCGGTAGACACACCCTGGGTCAGGGTCGACGCCCTGTGTCTTGGAGATACCATACGGCTTTGCCATTCCCTCTGTATAGGTGTTATACGTCTCACCGAGACTAGTGGGAACACGCACTGGGCATCGTCCAGTGTTCCCATTCCCTGCTCCATCAGAGCTTTGATGATATTAACTGCATCCGACATAGAGCTGCTATTACCGCGGTCTTCGTCGAGTGGATAACGTGCGACTCCACGCGCATCAGAAGAGCCTTGCCCAGGATGCCTCGGGCCTCGTCTGACCATGCCACTCTTGGCATGCAGCAACTGCTTTGGAACGTGAACAGTGCTCAGTGGTTTACGTGCCACTCCACGCGCATCAATAGGGCCTCGCCCTCGATGCCTCGGACCTCATTCAACCATTTCACTATTGGCACGCAACAACTGCTTTGCACCTCGGGCTTCTTGTCCAGAACACATTTGGTGTTCGACAACTCTGATAATTCGATTAACAGCACAATGAGCGTCCTGGTTCAGTACCCGCGCTTATAGCCTTATTGCTTCCTAGCAAGGGTGGGTTCATGACTCATTAAAGCTCCACAAAAAGACGTGCGCATAGCGCCCAAAGTCTTGACCTCCGATTAATAAATGGCTCATGGTGTTCCGACTATGCCAAACCTAGGATAAGGTTTGGCATAGTCGGAACACCATGAGCCATTTATTAATCGTTATACCTTGCATCCAAGTCTAAGACTCAGTTGCGTTCCAAGCTTTCAAGTCAAGAAACTTGACACCAAGGTCCACAGGGACCCTCGGCATAGTGACGCAAATCCCCGTTGCTAAGTGGACAGTGACGGTGTCACTCGACCGCGCATCCAGCGCTTTAGCATACAGCTGACTTCCTTCGATGGAGGAGCTTCGAACAGAATTGCCCCACGCCGCGGAGTCAATAAGGATTTTCCATAGCTTCTCTAAGCCCTTCACGATCGCTTTTACGACCAGCAAGCCCAGCTTGCATACCCGTTCCGTGTTAAAGAGCACGGAGCTCTTCGGGGCTGAGCCCTGCTGCCCTATACCTGATTGGGGGACAACAGAACTTAGTTCCTCCCCAGTAGGGCGCAACAAACCAGACTAGTTAGAAGCGGGATGTCGGTTCGATGAACGTGCCTTACGCAGGGGACAACCAGTCCGAAGATGACGGGTGTCTTTACAGATAAAACACCGTCGGGTCTTTGAACGCTGTCTGGCAGCTCGGAG